ACGAAAAATAAGGATTCTACCTAAAAGTTTCATAAACAGTAACCCGATGTTTCGAGCCTAGTTCTGTCTCTTGCTCACGGGTGAGGGACGGGAAGAACACGCGTCGCTTAAATGCACACACAAAAGTATGGGTTTGCTGACGTCACGCTGTCCCGAGACATTGCTGCTGGGCAGAGAGCCCGAAGAATGATTTGTGTTCCCCTTTGTGCGTTAGAAAACCAAGACACAGCAAAAAGACACCATCTCCAATTCTTCTACAAGGCCGGCATGGTGCTGTTTTCAATATTTTCTGTGTGGCCGATTGCTTTTGCGTGTTCCGCGAGGGCACTTGTGTCCACATTTTTCTTCCGCACATCGTACCTGTGTCGCGCAACGCGCGAGACATATGCGCGTCAAAACTCTGCGATCCGACGTGCGAAGTGTCAGAACGATGGTTGGAGACGAGAGTTTTCGTCGCTCAGGGGCTCTAAACTCGTCAAACACAAAGTTGGGGCCGAAGTTCACGCAGAGCGCCGATTGGACTATCACGACAATGACTTCGCGCTTTTGTCACCAGCGTCTGATCGGCGCGCTCCTCGAACTTTCGACTCCAACTTTGTGTTTGACGAGTTTATGGCCCCAGGAGTTTCGGACGGGAGCTCCGTTTGGCTCCGGCACGGGACCAACTTGCTAGATGCTCACCGCACCGCCGTACGACTGTCGGAGGGCCGCAGCCAATGCCAGTATGGATGGCGCGAACGTCATGCTGTCACGTGAAGATAGCCCCGATCGGGAGAGGAGGACCGGGTAAGCGGATGCAATTGGTGCATCACGCGAGCCGTCCTCGTGAATTGAAGGCAACGGACACCATGGGGGAGTCTTCCGGCGCGCACAAAACGAGCTGCTGATTTTGCGCGTCCATAGAAAGCCGGCCTTCTGGGACTTTTCGAGAGCATCGAGACCCGAATATACTCCGTTTCACCTTACGATGGCCAGCAGCGTACGTCTCGAGCCATTCCAATGCCGTGCGAGTGTCACGTGAACTTCGGGAGAGGCGCAACAATGCAGCAATGCGCGGGGTGCCTACCCCCTTAGCTGGGATGGTCCCTAACGTCTGCTATGGTCTATCGTGGTTATCTGACTTCAAACAAAAAAGTAACCTCACGTAAAATATTCAGACATGTGCACTTTATTGAAATATAATAAAAATATTTTGTGTGTTTCTATGTCAGAAAAACCACGAAGGACAAGGGGAATTGTTTAGGTTTCTAGGCTACGTAATGCAAGCTACCGCCCGTCATAAATACAGCCATTGGCATCGACCCGTTCTCCCGGTGCAGGGATATCCGAAACTGGGCTGAACTGAACGGAACTTGTGCGCGGCGAGTCGAAGCAGCCATCTTTCCTACAGTTCGCACGAGGGATCGGATAGCTTTGCCGCACATGTGTGTCGCGCTTAAACGTTTCTGTCAAGTCTTTACTTTCGCCGATGTGTGAGGCCGGGCAATCTCTACGTGGTGTGCGCTAGACTAAACCTTGGGCCTTTTCTTTAAAGGGGGGGGGGGGGGGGCGAATAACGATTGTAGACACAGGCTTACGAGTCACCGCAAACCCGTGGGACCGAGAAGAAAGAGCCTCGCTGGTGTGGCTGATATTGACTGTTTCTCCACGTGAACGAGGTACCGAACTGGTTTCGAAGCGTCGCGTTACAACGAAACGTCGGGAATATGGCGCACACAAACATTGCTTGGTGCGATCAGTCTGCTCAGTACTTCAATAGTCATTTAGTAAATGCTAAGAGTTGATATTTATGAGCCTCTTCCTGGGCTGAAAATTAAAGAAAAAAGAAAACGCAGTTTGTTCTAACACAGCATGTCCAATCTCCAGAAAAAAGGCAATAAAGAAGGTGCAACATGATGGTCATGCAAGTAAACAATATATTTAGTCTAAACACATTTGGAACTTCCATGTGGCCTTGATGGACCACGAACTTGCACCAGGTCCCTCAGCCCAATGGCGGTTCACGACTTCCTCGTCAGGACGACCCCGAAGGACGATGCAGTGAGTCGGTCCTTCCATGTATCCCTCCACGTTGCGCTGTTGTTCGGCTGGCGACCAGATTTTTCTAGTCGATGTGCGCCAGCTGGTGTAAGAGCAAGTTCTTAGACAGGCAACATAAAGTATGATGTGCAGTTGATCAGGTTTTAAGTGATTTAGGATAAACACATTTATTTAAATACTTTAACAACCCCTTCGGAATATTGCATAAGAGGTGGCTAACAACACAAAACGGGTAGCAGGTCTAAGAAACGTGTCCACTGTAGCGTCCCATCAATTCATGGAAGCCCACATCCCCGGCCGGGGTGCCAAGAGTTCGCCAAACGATTTTGACGTCGTGAAGTGGTCGCGTTGTTTGACCCCATGGCGGATAGACGTACGCCGTTGGTCCTAGCGGCACCAATATGGCCCCGAAATTAGGCAGAAGAGACCGGGAGAGGGTCGTGTATTCCAGATGTTGACCAACAAGAAAGCAAGTTTTCGGGGTCGGGATCAATTAAAGGCGACCACAAGGCTTTAGATCCAGTTTCTCTGTATAAAAGTGTAAAAAGTAAGGAACGGAAATGTTCGCACAAATTTTGAGATGAGGTGCATACGAAATAACAAAAATCTAAGCACGTATCGCATAATGCTAAACTAATTCAATGTTGTTGTTGCTGTTTGTTTTTTTTTCTTTTTTACACAAGCTTGATGCAGGCCTCTGAAGGCAGATACTTATAGTTTCCGACAAGTAAGAAAAGTTTAGACAGGAAGAGGCCAATTTAAGTTTACGCTTAAAAAAACGTGGAGAATGATTCAGCAGCAATTCTTGAAAAATACCTACTTATACGAATTGTTCCCTGGCAGAAGAACGTTGTAAATGGTGAAACAATCTAAGCTTTAGAAGGACGAGTAAGAAATACGAGCCTGTACTTCTGAATGTTGCTACTTCGCAAACCTTGGTTTAATACGAACGAGGTTTCCTTGAAGCAGCAAGTGATTTATCTAATGAGTGATTCACTTGACGAGAAATGGCAATCATCAACAATAAGATGAACATGAAATGCGAATGATAACACTAAGGCACTAAAGCTCCGTTTAACTAATTACGTGCGGTGTAAGTAAAGACAACGCAGGGCTAGGGTAAAAAGGCGAGCACTAAAAAAGCGGGAGGGACGACGGGAGAGAGGAGAAATGGCGAGCACTATGATGGGATGGAGAACAGTGGAGGCTTCTCTTTTTCCCAGCTTTGCAAGTGCTTGCCCTTTCTCTCCTTGTCCAGTGTTGCCTTCGCCTACATTGCTCACAACTAGTGAGATGAAGAGTAGCTCCAGAAATATGCAGAACAAGGATCCCGAGTAGTAACAATACCCTAAGAAGGGATGTCACAGCATCACTCAGGTTTTATTTCGTGCAAAGTGCAATGCTCGGGCATATGTGAGTCGCAAAGCCGTGGGGTCTTGTGGGTTGTTGATAGGAGAGAGGGTTGCCCTCAGGTACTGTGGAATTCTTAAAAATCTATAAGTGAGACGGTGGACATTAGCATAAAAAGGTCTATGCGACCGTTTGGTTTTAAGGGTAAAAGAACAACACACTCAACTTCCTCTTCTTAAAGTCTCGATCAGTACTTCAATCCCTCGTGCTTTCTTCGTTCTTCTCTTCGACTTCCTCAACATCCTCCCAAGCAAGCATTGCTGGATGGATTTCAAGTTGATGCTGCTTTTAAGCTGGTCTTACATATACGTTTCCATTTTTGTCTCTGACGTGACATGCTCCTGCGCACCCACCTGTTCTTTTGTAACTCGGGCGAGGTTCCAAAAATAGTCTGGACATTTTTTTGTCCACTAACAGGACTACGTCATTAACCTTCAACGAACAGCCTTTGCGTTTGGGTACTGATGAGCCGATCGCAGTATCACAATATACTCTTTACTCCACCGATTCCAAAAAGTGGTCCATAGCCAGTTCTCTATACCTCAGCCTCCGAGTGGATTCCCTGTGAGTCATGGACATGGGAAGTTGAGAGTCTGAACCGACTTCCGGAAGAACAATGACGCTTTGTCCAATCAGAAAATGAGCTGGACTGACAGGTGTCGGCTCCTTGAGGTCGGAGTAAACGTATGTTAATGGTCGGGAATTAATGATGGCTTCTGCTTCCAAAGTCACAGTTGCTAGCTCTTCAGACTTCAGACTGCTTCTTCCCAAAACTTTCCTTAAAACTATCTTTACTGAGCGAACTAACCTCTCCCACCATCTTCCCCACCAGAGACCGCTTTCAACAATAAATCCCAATTCTGACACCATGTTATGTTGCTAATTAAGCTCAGGAGAATGGTTTAAGCAAGCTGTTTAATAAGTAGCATACGGGATCAAAGCCGCAGCTATGGCGATTGCTCGTCAGTTCCAAACGCAACAGCGCGTGCCACCCCCTGCGAGCGTGCTTACTGGATGTCCTCTTCTTCTAAGATCAGGGAGCCTGATCACATCATAACATGCCCCCTTCTTCTTTTTTTTGAAGATAGCTCAGTGCGAGTGTGGCACTTGTCAGTCCCTGTATCGTAGCGGCTTCACCACGACGCGTCCACTTCTTGTTGTTTTTGGCCATTCTGTTCACCTTGTAGACGTGGAAATGTTTTCAAGTGATTCGTCGTTTGGGACTGTAGGGACATAGTCTTCAGCAGCTTCGCTTGAGGCTGTAGGGAAATAGTTTTCAGCAGCTGTATTCGTTTGTGCTGTTCTATGTGCTTCTTTGATGTGGTAGCGGTTGCGCCTGTAAGTCCTCGATGTGTTTCAGCTGCTTTGTCTCCTCGTTCCACTTGCTCTCCTCGGCTCAAGGCTGCTCCACCAGGGACTCATACCGCCGGGAGAGTTCCGCTATCGCGACTCGGCTTGCTGGTGCCTCCGAAGTTCTCGCTGTACCACCAGTGTCCTCGGTGACATGTTCCATCGAGGCTCCCTGTTTTTGGTTTGGCGCCTGTACCAACCGTTCTTCAGCCTTGAGATGCTTGTCCTTGAGGCAGCGAAAGCGCTCTTGCAACTGCTGGTTTGCTTGCCACAGCTCTTGCAGCTCCTGCCGGGCCTTTTGTCCCACTGCGCCCTGCTCCTCCTCGAAGACTGCGAGAGCTCGTCTGGCTGTTGCCCACTCTTCTGTGAGCTGTGCGCACCTGCCCTCCAAACTGTTTCTCTTGGGCTGCCGCGTGAAACCCTTCCTACAGGTTCCTGCGTCTGTATACAATGTTGGTATACTTGTCCAACAGCTGGGAGTCTTCAGCGCTGACAGTGCTGCCTCACACTTGGCCGCTACGTCCAGCGCAGTGCTGCGCTCGTTCTCCATCTCCTTGGTGGCCTTGACGTGCTGCTTGCACAGAGTCTTCAGCTCCTCCTCGAGGCAATGTCGTGTCTGTTTTAAGTTCTCTGCTAGCTGTTGAAAATGTTTGTTGTCGCTGACGAGCATCTCGCCTTGCTCCTCCAGGCTGGAAAGTTCTGACCGCAAAACGTCGGCTTCAATTTCTAGCTTTCCGTTGCGTTTTAGGAGGCTGCTGACTTTCTCGTCCATTCTGTCGCACTCTGTTTCTGCCTTCTCGGTAATGGAGCTTCCGTCTGCTTCTGTTTGCGACGAATTGTGACACTTAACAACATTCTCTCTCTCTCTCTCTCAAAGTCTCGGCCACCTTTTCGTGTCTCGGCTGCCAGAGGCGGCTTTCATTAGACACACATCTAATTTTTTCACTCGCATCTTCACAAAATGAATCCACAGCTGACTTTCTTGAGCGAGGGGCTTGTTCCTAACTGTCAAGGATTTGACCCGTTCCTGAAGCACTGCCAACAGACAGTTCAAGTCTTCCAGCTGATTTGCTTCAAGAGACACTGCAGCTTCTGGCGACTGGTTGGTGTGCTCGATGATCCTCTGGACAAATGCCCCGATGATGCTGCGGACAAATGCCCCGAGATCATGTAACGGCCACTGGTACCGGTCCTCTAAGTACTGATAGTTTTGCTGAAGTAGATTGAACTGCTCTTCTTTTTTAGCAAGCTGGTTTTCCAGGGCCTCTCTTTTGCGTTTTGCGATGTCCAGCAGCTTCTTGAGGTATTGAAAGGCACTGAACTCTCGTTGTTCGGAATCATTCTCAACTACCGGCAAGTCCTCGCCATATTCTTGAAGAAGGACATCCTGCAAGATGCAATACTCGGCACAAAACCTTCCGAGTTCAAGCTGAGGTGCTTCAAACTTCTCCTTCAGGGTGTCCGCTTCCTCCACCTTGGCATCTACAAGCTCCAGCTGCTTTGCCAAATCCCCACTTAGAGAAACCAGCTGGACTTTCAATGCTTCGGACTCCTAATACTTGGCATGAGAAAATTCTGCTTGCTGCGCTTGCATCTTCCCCAGGAGAGCCGAAACTGCCTCTGCGGCCAAAGCTCGCTTCGATATTTCTCTCGTGCTCCAAAGACCTTCGCTGCATTTCTGCCGTTGCCAACACTAACTCTGAAATCAGGCCTTGTCCCTCTTCGGTGCGAGATGCCAGCCTGCCCTTTTTTTTCTTTAATCACCTCTCCAGCTCTATCCCAGTTTGCGCAAGCTTGGTTGCATTGGTTGATGGAAGAGGCCCAATTGTTATGCCTCCCAAATGGATCGTTTCATTGGGGTCATTTTTCATGGCTGAGTTGGACGTTTCTTCTACTGCAGAAACACGTCGATATCAGTAGGTTTTCTGCTGTGTCTGGTTGCACATTCGGGGAAAGTGTCAAAAATCCCACAGGGAAGGCAGTGCTTTCCGTAAGCTGGGCAGTTTCGGGGTTGATGAGAAGTACCACTTCTCGAACATGAACTTTGCTGTCGGTTGCTGGATTGGTCTTTTTGTGGCTCAGATGGTTGGTACCTTCGTTGCGCTGCTCTGAAGTTAGATGGCTGACGATAGAGTCCATCAAGTCTAACTTCGTCTTTAGTTTTCTGAATATCATTCACGTTTTTTTTTAGATTTCAGCTGCTTTACAGGTTGAAATGATTTTGTCTAGTGTTAGATTCGGTTGACGAAACAATCGTTCGCGCAAAGCCACGTCTCGTATCCCAATAATGATACGATCACCAATGAGCCTGTTTTCTTGAGCTCCGTAGTCGGATTTTTGAGCCTGCAGTTTTAGCTCAGTTACGAATTCGTCGATGGTTTGTTCTGGCTTTTAGCTTATTGTGTTAAAAATGGCTGTCGCTTGTGTGACACTTTTGTAAGGTTCATACAGTTTATCAAATTCGTGCAGTATGTAATCTACTGCGTTTTCTCTTTGCACGCTTTAACCATCTCCCGTTGGTTGCAGAGGAATTGTTTGCATAATCCGTCTTGCCTGAGGTCCAAGGCAGTGGAGCAGAAACGCTTTCCGAGTTGCGATAGGCTTGGATGCAAATTCACAGGCTGCCTCGAAGATAAGGTAAGATGATTTCCACTCCTCCCATGCTCTTGCTGGGTCGTCACCAGGCTGGAACGTCAGCAAGACGTCGGGAGGCAGGCCGTAGGATGCCATGGTATGGTGACCAACGAGGCTGTCCAAGGAGACCTCGGGTAATCATCCTTCGAAGCCGGAGAAGCGACGAGCAAGATTGGTTACAACGGGCGGCTGCGATTCATGGACCGAAATCGGTGGGCAAAGCGACTCTTCGTATACATCCACCTTATAAGTATACACACAAGATGGAGGAAGCGGCTATATCAACTGCAAAAAAATTTGGTTTCTTCACAGTGCCCGTGAGTGCCAATACAGACGCAAAGTGGAAAACGGAGGTGCGGAAGACAGTGCGTGAGGAGGAGGCCCTTCAGTGGGCAAAGGTGGCCAAGAGCAAGTCAACGCTACGGGTGTACAACCTCAGCAAAAGTACAATATCAGCGGAGGCTCAGTCATACGATAACAGCCTGGGCAGCCGCTTGCTTTTTGAGGCACGTGCAGGAGGGCTGAAAACACTAGTGTACCAACAGAAATATAATCGGATGGTGGAAACAACAACATGCCGGGCTTGTGGAGAAGCGGATGAAACCATCGAACACATCGTCTTCTCATGCACAAGCCTGCAATCAAGCCATCCGGTGCAATGGTATTACGCTCCTGAAAACGTACAGACACCTGGCCAGCCCCTTCCACCAGCCCAATTGCTGGCGGAAGCACTCGGCTTGCAATCACCTGCGATGGGGTCAGCGCTGAACACGTTTCTAGAGAGAGATGCTACTGCTATTCCTCGAAGTGAGGTTGAAACGCGCGCCGCAGCGTCCACGAAGCCGATTGGACGGAGCTGGAAAGTAATCGGAAGAACGAAAAGCAGACTGGAGGACTGGTGGCGAAGGACAAAAGCAAATTGAACGCGAAGGAAAAGGAGAAAGAGAAAGAAATAAGTGTTTTTTTTTTTTGTTTAAAATATTTTTTTTTGGCAAGGTACGAACGTGGTTCGGAACCGCCCGATACAAAGGGAACAGCTGCAAGATCATAATCATCATCAACATTATTTCATATAATCTTCCGTTGACCGAGGTATTACGATAAGTCCGGAAGACTCGGAGAATTCCAAATTACCCTTAGGTCAGCGACGCCCTTTTGAATGAAGCAGCATAGTCAGAGTATATTGTACTTGGTATTCCTCTTCGGGAAATGAGCCTTCGAAATGCGAGAAGAAACGCTTCCGTGGAGAGGTCGCTCGTGAGCTTCAGATCGACAGCTCTTGTTGTCGCGCACGTAAACAAGACAATATAAGCCTTAGAGCTGTTAGTTCCTGCCCTCGCTTCCTTCATATATGAAGCTCCTGCGTAGTCAATGCATGAGGTCTCAAACGGCTTTGTAACATTCACTCGTTCCACTGGACAGGGGGCGAACGGCACAAGTGTAGGCTTCGTGGAAAACCTCGAACATAGAATACAGTTTCAGATAATCTTCTTAATTACCTTTCGTGCTCGAGGTATCCAAAATCGCTGTCGGAGAGGGGCCACGGTGCTAGATACTCCTTCATGGCCGACTTGATAATGAGCATCCGTAATAATCAGCTCAGTCAGGCGATGATCGTTCGGTAATATCATCGTCTGTGTCACGGAGCAAGGGGCGTGGATTTGTTGCAGCCGTCCTGTTACCATGAGTGCATTATCGTGGTACAGAAATGGGTGCATATCTGAAAGAGGAGATGCCGGCTCAATGTCCTGATTGCTAGAAGCAACTGAATCTCCCTTCAGAAGGCTTGTCCTTGAGCCTGCTTTATCCAATATCGTTCTGCTGCAGCATATTCTACGGCTTCCAATTCGCCGACTTCTCTATTTCCTTTATAACTGCTGTTAGGCGCAAACCTCATCACCCGGGTTGTTATTGTACGTACCTTCTGATACCCGTTGTACTTCTTTAAATCAAAAAGTGCAGCCGTTTCTTGACCTTCTGTTTGCAAGCTCACCTGGGTACGTTTCAACTCACTTCTTTCGAGCTCATTGAGTTCCCCTAATTTATGCGGGGTTTCCGGCCAGTCATCTTCTCTAGAAATGAGCCATTTCGGCACTTCCCACCACAGACAGCTATCGCGAAGAATCGATGGAGATTCTCCTCTTGTCAGTGGGTCCGCTGGGTTAGTCTCTCCCGGGTTGTGTCTCCATTTCTCTGGCACGATCTGGGTTTGAATTTCTAGGACGCGGTGTTTGACAAATGGCTTCCTCCTGGTCAACGGAACTCTTATCCAACTTATCACAACTGTCGAGTCAGTCCACATGGTGTATGTCTTTTAGCCTCCGTGTACGCACAACCAAGGTATTCCAGCCACCTTGTTCTCATTGCGGCTCCCATGAGCTCCAATCGTGGCAAAGACAATACCTTATAAGACGCGCCACTCTTGTCTTTGCGGTAACTAAGGTAGTTTCAACGTGACCACTGTTATCTTCGATTCTGAGATAGGCGCATGCTTCATATACCTGCGAGCTGGCGTCCAAGAATATGTGCAACTGACTTCTTTAAACGGTTTCGTTAGTCCGTTCTTAATGCGCCTTGGCACATGCACAGTGCGCCGCAATATGAAAGACCCACTGGGAGCGCGTGGCCGAGGCGGTGGCTGGCGGGGGCGCTGGGAGCGCTCTGGGCAATTCCATTCTGCTTCGAGGGGAGGACGCTCACTCGGGGCTCAGCACAAACTGATAAGCGCGTTGCGCTTTAGCTGAGGCCCGGGGGGGGGGGCATCGTCCAAGCGTCCATTGTCATCCCGAAATGCTGCAATAATCCTTTGGACGGCTTTGACGGGCCTTCCAACTCTGCGCGACATTCACGCTGTGAGAGTCCTTCCTGAGCAAGGACAACGATCTGGACGCGTTCATCCCTTGGAAATCGAGGCGGCATTTCTGCTGAAGCGTTCGAAGACGAACAGTGAACTGAAAAATGAAGGTTTAATACGCAAACTTGCGCCAAACAAAATAAGTAAAGAAACAGCGTTGAGGCAGCAGAGAAGCAGGCGGCGATTTGGCGGCGTAACAGAGAGCGAGAGCGAGACTTACTCGACAAGGTCGCAGGCAGCTGCTTATTTACAGTGCGTCACTATCTCCAAAGTTCGGCAAAGAA